GGCTGGAGGACGGTGCTTGTGGGGTGCCGGGGCCCTGCCGCGAGCTCTGGGGCGCGTGCTCTCTCTCAGGGCGCAGCGCCGCGGTGGTTTCAGTTTCAGCCCAGGTTTCTCCTGTGGAAATGCACATTGAGTGGGAAAAGTTAGAACAAGAGCATCTTTTTATAAAATAGACTTTTAAAAGAGACGCAAAGGAGCTAGCGAAAGGGGTCCTTCACAGTGATTCCTGCCTGGTGGCGTGGGTCCTCAGGGCCTGGACCCGGCAGAGCAGAGGGACTGAGGACAACGTCCTTGAATTGACAGCTACGTCCCGTCAGGAGCCGCAGGGTTGGGTCACTTAGATTTCCATTCAGGTCTCAGACTGGTGACCTTCAGAGAATGGGATCTGGGAAAGAAGCCGCTCAGTCCAATTGAGTAACTTTTTCAAAGGCTGTGACGGGCGTCCCTCCCTGTGGGGGAACTGCTGTCGGTGTGAAGCCGCTGTCCCTCGTGGAGCCCCCCTTGGGGTCGGGTGGGACCGTGGCGGCAGGAAGGCCAGGAGTGTCCTCGTCGGTGGCTTCTGTGAGGCTCAGAATGCGCCGCCCTCAGTGCATCTCTCTCTCACGCGCAGGTTCTCAAGTGCGAGGTGGAGCTGATGGCCAGGATGGCCAAGACCATCGACAGCTTCACGCAGAACCAGACGCGGCTGGTGGTCATCATCGACGGGCTGGACGCCTGCGAGCAGGACAAAGTGCTGCAGATGCTGGACACGGTGTGCCCGCCGCCCGCGGGGCTCGTCACGCTGGAGGGTGGCTGTGGGCACAGCTCGTGGGGCATTGGAATTGCGCTTTTCTTTCATAAAAGTAACCGTCTTTATGTAGAGACGTAGCGAGAGTGGACGTTCGTAGACAGGTGTAGAGAGCGTGCACGTGCTGGCGGAGTGAGGGGAAGTGAGGGGAGGCTCGCGTCCCGCGTGGCCCCGCATCTGTGCGGACGGTCCGGTGCGGCTGAGAGCAGCAGGGCGCACGGGTCGCCGTGTTTTGTTAAAGCCGCACACGCGTGCCTCTCCGTGAGGTGTGTGCTGAGCAGCAGCGTGTGACGGCAGAGACCAGTATGCCGTGCCTCTCGCATGTTCCCGCGGGCTGGCCTCCCCTCTCCTGCCGACCGCAGGCGTCCCAGATGGGACGGGAGGACTTGTTTTCTCCGAGGCCGTCACCGTCACCTGGTGCAGGGTCAGATGGTGCAGAGCCAGATGGAGGTTTCAGTAGCAGCTGTGTTCAGATAGAATAATATTGGATGAAAAACAGTTTTAAAAAATACCCAGTCACCAAAGGATGCACGGGCCTGGGAGGGAGTTTCTGAGACGCCGGGCAGTTGAAAGCTGCACCGCGAACGCACGTCCCGCCCGCAGGTCCGAGTGCTGTTCTCCAAAGGGCCGTTCATCGCCATCTTCGCGAGCGACCCGCACATCATCATCAAGGCCATCAACCAGAACCTCAACAGCGTGCTGCGCGACTCCAACATCAACGGCCACGACTACATGCGCAACATCGTGCACCTGCCCGTGTTCCTCAACAGCCGCGGGCTGAGCAGCGCCAAGAAGTACCTCGTCGCTTCTACCACCAACGGGGACATCCCCTGCCCGGACGCCGCAGGTGCCGGCCAGCCCCTGGGCGTGGGTGCAGTCCTGTGCGTGTGGCTTGCCTTCACTTGGCAGGGCGGTGGGCGCGTGGGCGCAGTCTTGTGCGTGTGGCTCGCCTTCACCTTGACGGCTGCGGGCGGGCTTCCTCCCTTGAGCTGTCCCGCAGAAGGCTGTGCTAACGGTGCCCTCGGGAAATTCTCTAAGGGGCACAGGACGACGCCGACAGGAGAGTCTCACAGATCAGCCTCGGAGATATGACAAAGTTTGGCAGCAAGACGGCCCTCAATAGACGGGTAAGACGCCGTCTCTTTTGAGCCCCATGTCTGTGTTGCTGTTACTCAAATAAAGCCGCGCTGACGGCACTAAACCATCTTTGTAAACAGTGCACCAAGCTCGGCCAATGCATTTTCTCACGGGACTCCTTCCCGCGTCAGTGGCTTTGCGGGCATGTCTGACCCTATAGCCACAGTGGCTAACGCAGGAGCCCCTGTCCCTCCCAGTGAGCCCGACGGTGTCGCCCAGTGCCCGTGGCCACCACAGCTGTGAGGGGAGGGAGGCCTTCCTCCTCCCCCGGGTGCTGTGCCCACCGTGGGTCTCCCGACCCTCTGCTTTCCCTGTCCTGCCCACTCCCAGACCCTCTCCGTGTGGAGCAGGGAGCGCACCAGGCCAGGAGGCGGCCCGGTGCAGGCCACCGTGGCCGCAGAGCTCTGAGGACAGCTAGGTGGGCTGGCGCTGATTGGCACTGTTTTATGTGGTGTTTTGTTTGCTTTTAAGATTGTTACATTAAATTTGGATTTTTGGCATTTAAAAATGTCTTCAGTGACATTTTGGCATTCTGATCTTATGCCTCTACCCTGTGCAAATACGGATGCCAATTACTGTGACAAGTGGCCACCGACGCTAAGTCAGGAGCAGGGTGTGACCTCCCGTGCCGAGTATCTGCCCCGGGAAATGCCGAACCTTAAAGCCCCGCAAGGAGTTAGGCTGCGTCATCCCGGGGCTCCTGTGAGCGGCTCAATCCTCCGTGCGGATTCTGCCTGCGTGTGATCTCCGGGCACCGAGCTTGCTCGGCCGCACAGTTAGGAAGCTCATCCCCTCTCAGCGCGCCAGGGACGCCTGCGGCCGTTTTCCAAGGCCTGAGCCCTGCCGGAGTCAGGTGGCTCTTGGCGGGTGCGGTTCCGCCCTGGCCTGCAGGGTGAGGTTGGTTGCTGTTGCGTCGTCAGCCCGTGTTAGCGTCGCAGGAGCCGGTCCCGGCGTGCGGTGACTCCCGCCTGTTCCTCAGGACACGTACCGCCGGAGGCAGATGCAGCGGACCATCACGCGGCAGATGTCCTTCGACCTGACAAAGCTGCTGGTGACGGAGGACTGGTTCAGTGACATCAGCCCGCAGACCATGCGGAGGCTCCTCAATATTGTGTCCGTGACAGGTACTTGTCTCCTCCTGTCTCACGGCCGACCAGCCTGCACGTGCACCGAGCAGCTCAGTTTCGGGAGCAGAGGGACGTCCTGTGCTTGGGTGTTCGCATTGTGAAGGCGTGATATTTGCTTTAAGGGTGTTTAGTAAAACCAAAGTGAGTTTGACAACAAAAATCAGCCATCGGTGTGCACTGTTACTTCAAAATGTGACTCGTCAAAGAGGCCTCTGATTTCCTCTCAGGTTTAATTGAGTGGAAGGCAAAGGCCCTGTCCCTGGTCCAGCGAACCCCTTTCCAAGGAAGAGGGGCCCAGCCACGGTGCGGCAGTGTCGCGTGGCCGGGCAGACAGGCCGAGGGGTGAGGCAGGAAGAGCTGGGTGGGGGTCTGTATAGTAGTTGTAGGGGAGGGAGAATTCATCTGAGCCAGAACAACTGGGTTTAAACTGATAACGATCAAGTAAAACAGATAATGTTCAAAATTATAAAGAAAAAATATCTGCGGTTCAGAGTCCCAATGAAATCAGGGATAAAATGATGAGGCTGCGAACCAAGGCCTGAGTTCTAAAAGATTGAGGATTGCAGCTGCCCACCTGTAAGCCCTCCCCGTGCCGAACGTGAGCGGGTTCCCAGAGCAGCCCGGGAAGACAGGGTCAGGGAAAAGAGCGAGTCCGGGGAACACATCATAACCCTGGTTGGTCATTCCCAGAGGCACCTCAGTTCCTCGAAATGAAAGGGGCTCGCACACTCACCCACACGAGAGCGGGAGTGGGCCGGCCGGCCGGTTTGCTCAAGGCCCGCAGCGGGCTCTTGCACTGCTTGGAGGATGGGCGGTCGCAGGAGCAGCAACTGCTCTGCTTGTGGTGGGGGCAGTGCCCAGACTGTCCTCCCTGACACGGTTCTGAAAGACCTGCTGCTGGGTGTGGTCAGGGCAGCAGCCGTGGGAAATCACAGAGAAACCACCTTAGAATTCAACAGAGTTGGGTGTCATTCTAGGAGCTTTCCAGTAGAGCTCTGTGGATTGTAGAAGCCATATATATATACACACATTTATGGCTTCTACAATATATATATTTCTGTATAGACACACACCAGAGGCCCTTGGCCTGGCCTGCAGGGATCGGGCCGAAACCAGCTCTCCGACATCCCCTGAGGGGTCCCAGATTGCGAGAGGGTGGTTCTCAGGTGGCACCCTGGAATCGGGCTCCCTCCTCTCCGGTTCCGGGTGCGTCACCTGAGAACTGCAGCTGCCAACTCACTGCAGCTGCCAAGTCACCGCAGCTCGGCAGCTCCTGCATTGAGCGTCTACCTCCTGGTGGTCAGTGCGCGTCATAGCGACCAGTCAGACGGTCAGACAGTCGCTTAGGCTTTTATATAGAGAGATTCACATTTAGTTAGTTTGAATATGTTGTGTAAATTAAATGGCAAATTTCAAAGATTTGGGCACCTTAAATGATTTGTGACTGTGCTCAGTGTTTTGCTTAGCATAACATCACACGTCTGTTAATTCACAAATGTTCTTGCGCTCCTTAAAGGGCGGCTGCTGAGAGCCAATCAGATCAGTTTTAACTGGGACCGCCTTGCCAGCTGGATCAACCTCACAGAGCAGTGGCCGTACCGCACGTCCTGGCTCATCCTGTACCTGGAGGAGACGGAAGGGATTCCGGATCAGATGACGCTGAAAACCATCTATGAAAGGTACTGAATCTCTTTCTGTTTAACTTGGTTTTACATCAAATTGACTTTTCAGGAAAAAGTTAATGCATATAAAGCAAAATGAATACAAAACATTATGTATAAAATGGACGCTTCCAAATTCAGTGGAGGATTCTCACTAATTCATTTACTTTGGGAGCTGTGTTAGCACAAGTGTAATTCCCATCGTATGACATTCACAGCTTCCTTTTTCAATGCAACCGAATGTGATAAAATGTGTAATTAACAGTCCTCGTGGCTTTATGTACTTATATCTATGAAATGCAGTGCCTAAGACATTATTATTTGTTTCCAGTTTATTTTTTATGCTAAGTGCCTTCGTGGACTATTGAGGTTACGTTTTCCAAATCATTGGTACAAGTATTTCTCAGCTTTGTATCTGAAGGGTTTTAGAAACTGTGAATACTGACTGGAGCAGACTCTTTGCATTAAATAATAAAGGAACTTACTGTTCGCTTATATTCAGTCGCTTTCTTCACTTGATGTGGGTGTAGGGTGAGTTTTAACTGAGCTTAGGTGGTTGTCCTTTTTGCCTCTATGTGTTGCGGGGCCAGGAGGCGGGTGCGTGGGGTGAGGGACAGATGTAGACAGCCCTGACGCCCTGGGAGTGGACTGTGTAGAGACCCTCTCCTGGACCATTAGAGGGTCACTTACACACACGTCCTTAGTTCTTACACTGTGAGCGTCCAGGAGTTTGTGTTCTGGCGGGAGGTAAAGCACACAGCTCACTTTAGAAAGGACTGGGGGAGCAGCCACGTGGGGTTCAGCCAGCCAGTCAGGAAGTGTGTCAGGACCGGGCTACCGGTTCTTTGGGGTGGAAAGCTTTCCGGCTGCAAGTGCTGTTCTTTGCCGAGGATTGCTTGCCCTCTGAAAGCGTTCACCCTGATGTTCATTTGAGCGCTTCAAGCTATATGACTTCCTGATGTTCAAGGAAATCTTCAAAAAATGACATTTTTAATTAAAATATGGCTTAAGGACAAAAGACAATGTATCACCTATAGTTTAAAGAGAATAGTACTTTTTTCATTCTGTGAAATAGAACACTTGCCAAAGAAATATTTTGAGGGAGTATTTTTATTATACAAGTGAAATAGTGTAGAGTGAGTGTTTATAGGGGATTTTGTTCAAGTAAATGTAGAATGTTTATGCTGGAGGTGTGATGAGATGGGCAGACTCTGTCTGCCACCTGCCTCATGTCCTTCAGACCTCAGCCTGCTGGGGCTGCCATCTGTGAGCGGGTTGGGTTCAGGGTGATTTTGAGGTGCCCCCCCCTTTTTTTCTTTTAAGAAATAGATATGTCTTATACACCTACAAATACTTAAAAATGCTTTGTAGATGCTTTAAGGAAGAGAAAATACGGTGTAGTGAGAATCTTGGAGAATTCATGAAGAACTTGACTCAAAAGAACTAAATTTAAGATGATTTGAATGAAAAACTATGGGAAGAGAATTTGATCAGCATATTGAAAAATTACATTGGAATATGTTAGAATAATATTGATGACTGTTTCTAGTTCACTGTAGTTGAGTTCTTTGATGCCATTGTTTGTCTTTTAAATAAAAAGTTTTATTTACAGCAGACAAAAAGCAGCAGTATATAATTGATATTCACTTATTTTATTAAAGAATTCTGACTTGGTAAAAACAATCAAAAAATAGTGTTTTTAACACTAGTAGTAAAATTTTTTTATTCCATAAAAAGCCTCATTTACTTTTATAGCAATTTGATGACACAGCTGCTTGCTTTATTTGCTGAAAAAGAAAATGTTGGCTCTTAGTGTTTGGTGAAATTGCTTTGTTAAATTATTTTCTAAATTGTTCAACTTTTAACAAATGACATTTGATATAACACTGAAAAGCAATTTCAGCTAATTAAGTAGATCCCTCTATAAACCATTGGAACATTAAGATGACATACTGTTCATTCAAGATTATTTTAATTGGTACAATTATTGTAATTTCCTTGCAATTATGTGTTGAGCTAAAAGCTTTTGTCTCGATCATTTGAGGGGTGTTTTTTGTTAACATATATTTAGTAAGAAGAAAGAGAGTAAAATTAAAACTGTAGATTAAGATCTTCTTTCGACTTTTTATTATAGTGTTTTACACAGCCACTGAAATATTTTAGTTAAAAAACTTTCTCATATTTTCTAGAAAGCATTTTAAGCAATGATAAAGGTTTTTGAAAAGATCAGTTTTAAGAATTTTCGTGAAGATAATGTTTAAAATTTTTGTTTTGACACTGCTTAAGAAGTCTTACTCAGGATGCTCTGGTCAGAATAGTTTTGTGATAAGGATAATGCCAACCTTTATTTTGATTCTGCATATTCATTTTTAAAAACGATCAAATGCATTTTGAGAGCCTGAGAATGGCAGCCATCTTTCATTTCATTGAAATAGCTATTTGTTGAACAGGCATTATAGATGCCTTTGTATTAAATTCAGTATCTTTCTTTCTTTATTTATTTATTTTGTTAATCTTCACCTGGAGATATTTTTTCCATTGACTTTTCAGGGAGAGTGGAAAGGAAGGAGGGAGAGGGGGGAGGGAGGGAGAGAGAGAGAAAAAGAGAGAGAGAGAGAGAGAGAGAGAGAGAGAGAGAGAGAATCGGTTGCCTCCCACATACCCCAACCAGGGCCGGGAATCGAGCCTGCAACCCTTTGGTGCTCAGGCTGGGCTCCAACCACTGAGCAACGCCAGCCAGGAGTTGGGTATTTTAAATTATTCAAGTAGTGCTCTTTCTGTACTTGAAGATATTTATACAACAGACATCACATCATGATATTCCTGCCTGATACTCAGCAGAGTTTTCATGAGCTTAACTTTATCGCTTCTCAGCATCTCACGCCTCGCAGCTCTCACCCACCACCTCCTGTTCCCTTCGTGTTCTGGGCGATTGTTAGTTGACCTCCAGGCCCCGAATGTGGCCCCGATTATGCACGCGTTTGTTTCTCTGCGTGTGGACCTAAAGTATGGATTTGAGCCCTCACCGGTTTGGCTCAGTGGATAGAGCGTTGGCCTGTGGACTCAGGGGTCCCAGTTTCGATTCTGGTCAAGGGCAGGCACCTTGGTTGCGGGCACATCCCCAGTGGGGGGTGTGCAGGAGGCAGCTGATCGATGTTTCTCTCTCATCGGTGTTTCTAACTCTCTGTCCCTCTCCCTTCCTCTCTGTAAAAAATCAATAAAATATAAAAAAGTATGAATTTGAACAGCATGAAACAGTGGACACTAGTTGTTTAGATTTGTGAAAAAGTTCTTTCCTTTTAGTACAAAGTATATCCCTGTACTGACGGTTTTTCCCTTTCATTTAGGTTTGAGATACTGTAAACAGTTATTCCAAACACTGTTCCCGCGTGCCCTTGGTGTTTTTGCGTGTGGTTTAGAACGTTGACGCAGTTCTGTCTCCTCGAGGCAGTGAGACTTCCCTGTAGGTGCTCACTCAGCACCATTAAATGGCTGTCTGTGTGTAATTACTGGCTCCATCTTTACTCCGAAAACACACTGGCCTGTAATGTATTTATAACGCAGATACTTTATTCCCGGTTCCATGTTTTATCAGTACCTTATCTTTTATAAAGATGGCCTGATCTTTGCAAAATCATGAGTGTGTCCTGGAGCTGCGGGAGGTGTTGGGTGGAGAGCGTGAAGCACTCAGCTGTGACAGCTCCACTGGAACAGCTGGCACATCTGCCGGCGTCAGCCTTCGCGCCGTTATGGGTGGCTTCTCAGCCCCTTGCTTTCCTTTCTGTGGGTAAAATTGGTTTTTAAAATGCGTCCTCATTAAGCTTGTCGTGACGCCATTTTCAGTATCTAATGCTGATGTAGAACCGGAAGGGTTTCAATGTTCCGAAGTGTGTGTTTCTAACTTCAGCGTGGAAAACCCAGGTACATTAAGGCTGTTTGAAAGCAGGAATAGCAAAATCAGTTTCTCTCAAATGTATATTTTAATATGTAAAAAATCATTACCCTTACAGATTTAGAGTTTATCTTATAATACATACTTTATAACTTATAATATTTGTAATATTTTATATCTTACAATAATATTTATTATGCATGTTTACATTTTTAAAATAAATCTGATTATTGAAGGATTCAGATTCACCAAAACATGAAATGTGCCTTAGAGATCAAGCAGAGGCTGATTTCCCCTGAACTGATGTTTTCAGCAGAGGCTGGTGATCTCGGAATTTCAGGCAGAAGTGTGTTCATATTGTTCACAGTGTGAGAGGAAACAAAAGAAACAAAAGTGCCAGCTGACGGAAGGCAAGGCGAGGTGCTGATGGACAGCCGCGCCGAGTGGCCCGGTAGCAGTACCCACGAAATCCACAAGGCGGCAGTGTTCCACCAGCCACGGCCACGGCCTCGTGCATTTGCTCTCCCTCTCGCAGCAGAAAGACAAGGGAACCCTGAGTTTATGAGTATTTCAGACTCTCGGGTTCCTTTTCAGATGGCTCCCAGGACACTGACACGCACTGAGAACCATGACTGCAGGACACGGACAGCCGCCTGACCCTGTACGCTTTAAAGCTCGATCGGGCCCCTTTCTTCTGAAACCCTTTTCAGTTAACGTTTGGGAAAGGGATGGAGATGGAAAAAGGAGTTTTTATTGGTCTTACAAATTTGTGTTTACATTTAAACATGTTAAACCCTAAACATTGCAGACGTTGGGTCCTGTACTTACTCGACATTACATCTTTAAGGGGGCCTGGGTAATGGCGGTTTTGCTTTAGCCTGAGGTGTTCCCGGGCAGCTTGGTCTGTGCCTCATTCTCTACCCGTTACTCAGCGTTGCATTGCAAAACGTGTGCTTTCTCTGTCTGACTGACGTCAAACTCTCCGAGGTTTCTTAAAGACAACAGCACCACGAACACCCTTCCGCTTGGCAGCACCTGTGGTGTTATTAGCGCCTCCCCAGCCGCTATGGGAACTGGGTCTTGCCTCTTGTGTTGGGGCGTCTCTAACGCATGGTGTGAGCCTGGCGGTGCTGCGAGCACTGCTTTCAGGGAGGGGCTCTGAAGTTGGCCCCTCAGCCTCTGCTGGCCTCCCTGTCACCGCAGCCTGGAGCGAGGTGATTGTTCACATCGGAGCACTTGCCAGAGGTGAGGGCCGCCTCAGGCTGCGGCTCCCCACTGGGGACCTTTTCAAATCAAATCTTTTGCAGAACCCCAACAAATACAGCAGAATGAATATTAATTAGTCGATGCGAGTTAGAACACATCCTAATAAATTGAGTTAGCGAGAAAAAGGAGCTCTTCTGGAGAGGATCACGCTGAAGCGTGTGTGTGACTTGCAATCCTCGTGGGCGGGACATCCATCTGTGCCCCGCGTGGGCCTGGTGGCGTGGCACCCAGGAGACCTGACCCTGAGCAGCAGGTGTGAACTGCTCTGCTGTGGCCGGTGTTTTCAGTTTGTCCGATCCAGGCGCTGGAGAGATGAATGGGGATTTGGCTTCACGGGCGAATCACCAGTAAGACGTGGAGATGCTCTGGTGAATTCCTGGTTGGGGTGCTGGGCCTGTGTCCCCACGGCCGGTCCCTGGCCCCTCATTGTGCGTTTCTCACTGGTTCTCAGTCTGCGCTCTGGCACCTGGCGGGGGTGGGGTGGGGGTGGGGGACTTGCTTGCATAATTCTGTGAACGAAAAGTGTCCGTCTGGATTAAAGAGAAACGATGAAGGACTTTATATACGCACACGAGGATGGAGGAGAACCTTCTCTACGTCTGTTAAAAAAAAAAGGCTGTAAAAACCAGGCCACCTGGTAACACGGGTCCACGTGTTAGTCCCCTTCAGCGCCTTCGCCTCTAGTGTGTAACAGGCTATTCCATCACATGCCTGTTTTTATTTTCCAATTACAGTTGACACTCAGTACTGTTTTATATGGTTCCAGGCGCACAGCGCGGTGGTTAGGCAGTTAGAAGTTTACAGAATGGCCCCTCCGTGCGTCTAGGGCCCCCCTGGCCCCGGCCGTGGTCCCTGTGACGTCACTGACTGTTCCCCAGGCTGCAGTCCACATGCCTCTGGCTGTCGTGGAGCCGGTGAGTGCCGCCAGTGGTGGCTGTGGCAGCTTAGACAGCACTTTCATGTTGGCTTATTTAACCCTGGGTAGACGTGCGTGAACACATGCGTCAAACACATGACATGCCTGAGTCAGAAACACGCCCGAAGGCGAGGGCGGGGCTGTGCCCTGTGCGCAGTGCGGGCTGTGGCCCCGGGTCCTGATGCAGCAGCTCGTGGGCTCGGGGCGTGGGCAGCCGTGAGGGTGAGGCAGCTCTGCCCCACACAGAAGCCTCGCTGCTTCCTCTCCTGGCCTGGGAGCTGCTCGGCGCCCGCGGCTCCTCCCGCGGCAGGTGTCGCGTCACCGCTTCCTCCTCCGCAGCGGCCTGCGTGGGCGGCGTCTCTGACCCCGGCTGACGCTCTCTCCTGCATAACGGGGCGCCTCGGGGGGTCGCTAGCGAGGGGTCGCTGTGTGGATCCTGGGCGTGATCACAGCTCAGGGGAGGCTGCTGCACAGGCAGGGCTCGGGCATTTCCGACCGTAAATACCTGCACAGGGAAGAAGAAATACCTTAAGAGCCTTTGAGGAAAAGGAAGAGGAAATTTAAAATTCAAATCATGTACAAAAATGAACTCGAGATGGATCGTCGTACGCTTTCCCAAGTACAAGGTTTTTTCTATCTAAGAAAGGATCATTGAAGTGAAAATTATTCTAAAAGGCTAGAGCTCACTGGGAGCAACGTATTTTCTTGCGTATTTATTGACTACAAATGTGTATCAGGCAGGAGTAGAAAGCGGGCATTCGCGCCAGCCTGCAGGTAGGATGGCGAGCAAACCACGCCTGTCCGGCTTCGCTGGCACTACCGGCGCCTGCAGTCTGCGGGGACGGTGCACTGCAGTGCTCCCACGGACGGCTAGCATCCCCGTGAGGTGTGGTGTGAAGGGCGCGTCTGTGCTGGGAGGGCTGGTCATGGAGGAGCCCCTGGTCCCGGGGGGACCCCGCAGGTGGCGCCAGGCTGCAGAGGATGCGCAGGCCACGGTGTTAGGCCGGAGGGCAGCCCGCTCCCGCCTAGAGGTTCTGGTTCTTTCCACAGGTGGCGGTGGGCTTCGCAAGGAGGGCGGTGACCGTGAGGCCTGTGGACATGGCGCTTCTGTATAGTCTGACAAAAAGCGTTTGCTATTTTTAATGAATATTGCTTTTTCCATGCAAGACCTCTGCCTGATACAAAAGTGTTTCCCTGTATCAACAACTGTGTAAAAATTCTGCATAATAAGCATTATTATGCTATTTAAATGCTAGGTGACACGCTGGGTCAGTACCCACTATGTCCATTGGTGAGAGGATGCTTGTCCCTCTGTGTCCCTCTATTCCTCTGCCTTTTAAATATGTGCAGTAGTAAGTACATATTTCCTTTACAACAGAAAACAAAGCCTTTCCTAAAACAAAACCTGTGCTGACGTTCTAGTCTGTGTAATATATTCAGACATTATTCTTTATGTCTTCTCTTTGCAAAGGCAAGGCCCATGGTCCGCTGTGCAGGCGCAGGCCTGAGAGCCAGTCGGACTCGCTTTCCCGGTCCTGTGGCTCCAGGCGGCCGCTTAGCTGCCCCTTCACTGTCCCCAGGAGGTGCCATCTGCGTGAGCTGCGCGTTCCTTCCGGCCCGTTTTCCTGGCCCACGGCGTCCTGCCTCTGTCAAAGGCAGCCCCATCGCACCCACTCATTTCTTTACTATTTGTAACTGTGCCGCCTATTTTTTTCTTTAAAAAGATCTCGATGGCAGCAAAGTATGTAACGTGCGATTTATTTTTATGTAGACTTTGCCTTTCTCATGGTGACATTAATGATCTTTTCATTTCTTTCTCGTTTGAAGAATCTCAAAGAACATTCCGACGACTAAGGACGTGGAGCCGCTGCTGGAGATAGACGGGGACATCAGGAACTTCGAAGTGTTCTTGGCTTCGCGGACGCCCGTGCTGGTGGCTCGAGACGTGAAGACCTTCCTGCCCTGCACCGTGAACCTGGACCCCAAGCTGCGGGAGATCATCGCCGGTGGGTGCCAGCGGAACGTTAGTTTTCCTTCTCGGAAGCCCTCAAATGTTTCCCATTTTAGCAGCTCTGTTAGTTCCTCCTGCGCCGTGAAACCCAGAAACGCTGACCCCGTGTCCGCGGGAGGACAGGGCCCGGCGTGGGGTCGTGGGCGGCGGGAAGCAAGGGCTGTTGGTTAGCCCCCCGCCCCCCCAGCCCGCTCCTTGCTTTGGAACCGCCCGTCCACGTCGGGCCCCACCGTGGCTGCCGTCCCTGGACTGTCCTCTCTCCCCTCTCCTGTCCCTGGTGGCTCTCACCGGAGGGCACGGAGCCTTCGTCCTGAGCCTGGGGACTGGCACGGGGGCAGTGACAGGAAGTTGTGGGGATGATTTAAGTCGTCCTGAGGCACCACTGTGCACAGAGGCGCAGACACAGCCTCTGTGGAAACCCACGGCCTTCGTATGACCAGGCCCTCGCAGCCCAGCCCGAGTTTCCAGGAATGATGGGGCGAGAGCCGGGTCCCCGTTCTGCTCTGGGGCGGAGGGCCGTGTTGTTCAAGGTGGGCGCGCCGTGCGCTTCCCATCCGGTCTCCGCTGGCCCTGTGCCCAGTCCCTGGGCGAGGGTGAGGGTGTCCGTGCCCACGCTGAGCCGTAAGGATGCCAGGGCAGCGCAGCCAGCAGCTGGGCGAGGCAGAGGCAATGTGTTCTGGTGGCTCGCGAGAGAGGGCAGTGGAGCCAGAGGCTGCGTGCGGGCAGCGGGGCTCCTCTCGCGGGCTGAGCTCCCGGAGTGTCTGCCTCCCCGCGCAGGCGGGACGCTTCCTTCCTCTTTAGCCCGCACCCGAGGGTGTTGGTCGGGGGAGGGGGAGAGGGAGGCAGAGAGAAACATGTGAGAGACACATGGGTTGGTTGGCTCTTGTACGAGCCCTGACCGGGGCCCAGGCTGGGGAAGAGCCCGCAACCAAGGTACGTGCTCTTGCCCGGAATCGAACCCGGGACCCTTCGGTCCTCAGGCCGACACTCTATCCACTGAGCCAGTGAAGGAGCAGGTGCTGACTGCACTGACGACTAATGTCCCACTTTCTCTTCCTCCGGGACTTCACCTTTCAGATGTCCGTGCCGCGAGAGAGCAGATTAACATCGGCGGCCTGGCGTATCCCCCGCTGCCCTTGCACGAAGCTGCCCCCCGGCCCGCGTCCGGCTACAGCCAGGCCCCGTCCGTCTGCTCCTCGTCCACCTCCTTCAACGGCCCCTTCGCAGGGGGGGTGGTGTCCCCACAGCCGCACAGCAGCTACTACAGCGGGATGACGGGGCCCCAGCACCCCTTCTACAACAGGGTGAGCAGGAGGCGCGTCTTGTCTCGGAACGGGGCCGGGAAATAGCAGGCGTTTTCTGCTGAGGGTTCTGGGATTATTTTGAAACTGTACTTTAGCTTTAAAATTGGGGAAAAGTTAAGTTTAAATTTAACATATGCGATATTTTAAATTAGAAGAAGGTTGCACTTTAATGGGTCTCAGTGTCAGTTGAGTCTGAGCGTTGGGGCGCTCTTGGCTCTTCGCTTTCCCAGCCTCGAAGGGGAGCGAGCCCTGAGGCTGCAGGGCCTGCCCCATGGACTTTGGCATTTTGCGTGTCATTCACGTGGGTGTTGAAACAGTGTAAACATCAGTGTCTGCAGGAGTTCAGTAACCCTGTGTTCAGTATGTGGTGCAGCTTTCACACGGAGACGCTAATGGGAAACACTGCGTGTGGGGCTCAGACGACGTGGCCGCGTAACAGCGCCACAGCCATTTCCAATGTTTCACGTCGCTGCGGCACGTGTGGCTGCGACTCAGTGGGAGCACGTGAGTCTTGCGTGGAGAGATGGGAGCACAGTCGAGTGCCACGGGGTCCGGACCCTGCCAAGTTCAGTTCTGTTGTCTCCCTCTTCAGTCTAATTCAAGAGAACACGGGCTAGTCTTCCGAAGCCACGCGCATGGCACACGAAGTCCACGTGAGCCAGGGAGAGAGGGAGTTAGAGCCAGAATTCCAATTACATTTCCGTTGGTTAAAAGCGTTGGCCACGTGAGTCGTTAGCCGCACACCCTCGGTGCTCGGAACGCGGGCCGCTGTTCGCTTGGCCGAGGGGTGCCGGCCGCAGCTTCGGCGGCGCGCTCGGCACGCGGAGCAGGGTTACTTCCCAGGCCCCAAAGCTGCCGAGATGGGATTAAAACGGCTCTGTGGGTCAGGAGAGGACACTTGAACTTTTGAGACCATGAAGCTATTTTTTAAAAAATTACCAAACCATCTAGGCTGAGACCTCATGTTCACTGATTTCATGTGAATAATAATCATGTGATACTTTAATAACATTTTATTACTTTTAAAACATTTAAAATTCTCTCATGGTTTTAGGTCTAGTTACTTTTTTTTCTAGTTATTTGAGGTTTTTAATCAGAAAGTAAAAGCAGAATAATTTTTTTTCTTTTTCTTTCAAATATATTCTATTGATTTCCCACAGAAAGGAAGGGAGAGAGACAGAGAGCCAGAAACATCGATGATAGAGAAACATCGACCAGCCGCCTCCTGCACATCTCCCACTGGGGATGCGCCTGCAACCCAAGCACATGCCCCTGACCGGAACCGAACCTGGGACCCCGCAGTCCGCAGGCCTACAGGGAGAATCTGAAATGCTGCTTGTTTCTTGGGGTCTCTCATGGGGGAGTCACAGGTTCTAATTCTTTCTGCAGGTGCATCCATAATTTGAAGGAAGACTGGTATTTTCTTGTTCCTGGATAATAGTTGTTTGCTAGACCTGATCCTGAACATACTGTTTGCTTGTTTGCCTTCTGTGAACTCTCACTTTAATAGGAGAAAGAAGAGGCATAGAGTCTGTTTCAAGATTAAGTTGAGAGGCAGGACTGAAAATTTCCCATTTTTTCATTTCAGGCTCTATTCTGTTGTCTCTTTTTTTAAAAAAATATATTTTATTGATTTTTCACAGAAAGGAAGGGAGAGAGACAGAGAGCCAGAAACATCGATGATAGAGAAACATCGACCAGCCGCCTCCTGCACATCTCCCACTGGGGATGCGCCTGCAACCCAAGCACATGCCCCTGACCGGAACCGAACCTGGGACCCCGCAGTCCGCAGGCCTACGCTCCATCCACTGAGCCAAACCGGTCCCGGCAGAATAATTTTCTTAAAATGGCAGGAGTGAAAACGGTTATTTTAGTGTATGAAGCTTGGAGAACTCTAATCTTTGCCTTTAGCCCATAGAATCTGACAGCTCCTGTTAACAAGAAACTTGTTACAAATAAAAGCTGTAGCTACAACTCGCCTGAACAATGGCTTCCCCATTGAAGATACGCCTGCTTACGTAGAGCTAGCGAGACCCCAGGGACTTGGGCTAGCAGGTATTCCTCAGGGCCACGGAGGCTGTTCTCACATCGTCCAGACTATTTTGGTCTTACTTAAGACTAACCTTTTTTTTTTTCCGGTAAAGAATAGTTTTCTATTAGGATTCCATTCTGCTTTTTTATAAGAGATTGTGTTAATACTTATAAGTCATTTAGAACCAGACACTTGGTAATTAGCCCATAAAGTTATTAATATAAAGAGAAACTCGTGTGTCAAATTGTAAGGTGTAAAACTTTAGTTGCTTAAAAAAAAAGCTTTTAGTAAATCAACAGTGTAATAATTTAAGTGATATGTCAAGTTTGGGGGTTGGTATCGGATAGAATATGAGAAAGGCTTTTTTCTTTTGTTTTGTCACTTGCATTAAAGTCTGTATGTTATTGTTTAGTTTCATTTGATAAGTCTCATTACCTTTGATTTCCGTGATTGTTTATCCCACTCTTTTGTTACGTGTTTTTTCCATAGCCATTCTTTGCCCCATACCTTTACACGCCACGGTATTACCCTGGCGGTTCCCAACATCTCATCTCACGTCCAACAGTAAAATCGAATTTGTCCAGAGATCAGAGCAATGGCCTAGTAAGTATAAAAGGGTAATAAAGTATCAATCTAATGAGAACCATCTAGAACATTGGAGGTGGGTTATTTCCTTTCTGTAGAAAGAGAATGAACTTGTTTTGTGAATAGTTGAGGAAACGTAAGCTATTACTAACATAAAATGCATTCGTTTTCATTCTGTTGACTGTGGAAGGGGCCGACCGGCAGCCTCGTGGGTAAATTGAGATGCTGGCAGCCAGCGTGTCTGCTTAGAATGCAGCGTTTGTCACCAAACGTAACACAAGGCCTTTACTTCTGCTGATTTCTAGTGTCTGTTTAAAGGACATGCACGTGTGGTGTGTGTATATATGTCAGCCCTTTTGTATGACAATCAGGGGACGTGGAGAGAACGTGGTTAGCTAATGGCAGAAATTAGGAAAAGGAAATTATTCAAATGAGGTTACCTTTGAATCTAATCCAAAGCAGTATGTTTATGGCTAACATACTAGGTGTTCCTGATGATAAAGCTTGTTAAATAATTTACATAATTTAAAAAAGGAAGCCCCTGTGAGCATATTGTTATAAATTGGGAGGAAAAGATGGAGGGCTTCGCCTTCTATGTAAACGTGAAATGTCGTCCCTGAAGGGAACGGCGGGTCCCCTCCAGGTCTCGGTGTTTTAACGCCACGTTCGATCATCTCCCAGTTTGCCCCTCACACGCTCTGTTCTGTGTTGCCAGGAGGTTATCAAGGAGGACGCTGCGGAGGGGCTCGCCTCGCCCACCGCCCCCCCGAGGGTAATGCTTGTGTGTGTGGCGTGGCACCGCCTCTCTCGGCCCGGCACTAACAGCACCGCGTGTGGCAGCAGCTGCTGCTAATGACTGTGCGCGTGGAGTGACTGAGCGGCCGCTGTGCCCGTGTCCCCGCTCCCCTGGCCGAGCCGGGAGGGTAGTGACGGTGGGAGGAAGGGGCCTCCGGGGGCGGAGCTCTGTTCCCTCTGCTGGCTCTTGAGCCTCCACGTGAATATTTTTGAAAATAGTCCACACCCCCCGAGGCTGCAGAAAGCCGTGCCGAGCGAGAAGGCGAAGCCAGGGTGTCTTCATGGCCCACTCCTGCCTGGGTCCGCGCTGTGGGAGCCTCGTGTACACGGAGCCCTGCTCTTAACCGGTACTTATCAGAGCAGCTTCCAGACGCCCACAGAGCTGCTAAGCTGGGGTGGCCCCCGCCCCATTACAGGCTCCAAACCAACACAGGCGAACAAACGACTAGGAAGTCGCTGTGTGTCTTTATCATTCAAGGCCTCATACTTACAAAAGCACGTTTACTGCATGAGCCTTAGACTCTGCCTTCACTTCGAGTTATGCACGGAACGGTGCGCCACGTAGAGAAGATCCCGTTAGCCCGAGGCTGCCTGACGGCCCGTAGCGCCGGACTCACTGGGATCAGTGCCAGCCGAGCTCATCCATAATGTTTCAGCTTGAAACATGCGTTTGGGAGACAGCGGCTTTTTACTTCACTTTTGGGTTAACGTTAGTGAGAGAGAAAGGGAACCGCTTTGGTGTTTCATCGAGGGGTTGATGATTCTTTTAAAATCATTGACATTTAGCTGAAGCGTCTGCGTGACTTCAGTTACCCAGGAGTGACAGGCACAGGAGCCATCATCATCCACTTGGTGCTGGAGGCGCCTGTGGCCGTGGTCACTGCACGTTGCAAGCATGGCTGTCAGTTCCGCCAGGGCCTTCAGTGCGAGGACCACGCACGCAGGGCCGTTCTCTGGGCAAAGCCCTCCCCGACCCGATGGAAGTCAGACACTGAGGGCTTCGGTGGCCGTGCAGCCTGCGGACACAGCTGTCCCGAGCTGACGATGGGCACAGAGGCCGAGTTAGTGCCTGCAGGTCCTCAGGGCCGGGGAGGCGGCAGCGAGTGCACTGAGCTCCGGGGAGGTTCCTGAGCTCGTCCAGAAAGGAGCCCGGGACAGGGCCGGGCGTCCCGGTGGGCGGGGCCTGTGTGCAGTGATACCCGCTGCCTGCTGCTCTCTCACGTGAAAGGTCACTTTGTGACCGCTTAGTGAATAACAGATACTCACCGAGCTTCTTTGCTTTTAAGACATTAACAATGACAGTAGCTGTAGAATGTTTTGTAGCCTAGTCGCAGTAGACACTGGTTCAAAGCCGACCTCAAAGCAGTGGTGGAAATGGGGGGCCGGGGGGGACCGTCTGCAGACTGTCAGCCGGCACCGCTGAGCCAGTGCAGACGCAGCGGCCCTGAGAGGTTTAGCCTCGTGGCCCCGGGTCTCCAGTCCTGGGGGGACCCTGTGCCTCTGACGGAGCCCCTCTGCTCGCTCAGCTGTCCCTCAAGCGGAGCACGGGGTGACGAGAGCTGCTGGCGGATGCGTCAGGAGCGCCACACAGTTTTTGACAGATTGTCATTACAGACACAGAGCGATGAGTTTAAAACAGACACCAGGAGATCGGACGGTCAGGAGCTAGCCAGCCACAGCCTGTGCAGCAGGCAGCCCACAAGGCGACCCGCCACCTACGAGCTCATGAGCTGACGAGCAGGCCTCAGGCGACCGTGGTTCTCAGCCAGGGTCACTGTCGTGGGCGTATCTTGTGAGGCCACCACGGACTTGTCAGGTGAACTGCAGACAGGCCAGGGGTCCGCAGCGGTGGGGTGGACGTACAGGCCTCCGTGCTAGCTCCCCCACTTTCATAGGAGAGCAAACATCCGCCAGATCTGACGGCCGGGAAGTAACCCTGGACCAAGACACCCTGGGTCGCAGCTGGGAGGGCCTGTTTCTCCCCCCGCAGAACCGGACTCCAGGTTATAAAACCAGGAAAGCTAGGAGCCTGGCCCCCGGGACCCGCCTTTCCTCTCACGGGTCCTCGGAACTCGTGCCGACAGCCAGTCCTGCCCCGTGGTCCGAGGACCACCCGGGACTCTGAGGCTCACCCCAGCAGAGCAGGCGGGGAGCGCTCAGGGGAGGGGAGTCCACACGGCCCGACCCCCATGCCAGCTGCCTTCAGCTCTGGGCCTGTCGGCGTGGTCAGGTCTGTAATGGAACAGGCCCTGCCGGTGAGCGCAGGACAGACCACGCAGCCTCTCAGATGCTCAGCCTCCTCGTCCGGGCCACGCACACCTGCCTCCCGGTCCCCTCTGAGCATCACGCAGCCTCGGGCACTTTATACTTAGTCATCGTTACTCCGCCCACAGCGAACGCTTTGATGGAGCGTTCAAGACGTGGGCACTAAGGCCCCTGGTTAAACCCTGGCTCTGCCCGCTCAGTGGGCTCGGCCTGTGTCTGTTGATCTCTGGCTGCAGAGGTGTCAGGCGCTGCCTCCGTAGAGTCTGGAGGCTCCGTGGCATCTGTGTGCTCCACGTGCTCTAACACTTGGGAGCTTCCCCGGGCTCTTCTCGGTGCTCCCGGTCAGCCCCGCCCGCTGGGGAGGTGGCCTCCATGGCTCTGCCTCCCCCGGCTCCTCGGGCACATGTTGGGGTGTCTCAGGGCTGCTGTGCGAGGACTGTGGTCAGTGTTACTCAGGTCTCTGCTGTGCGGGCAGCTGGGCCTCCGGAGCAGCCTTTCCCACGGGAGGCTGACAGCATTTCTAGACCCTGCTGTCCTCCTCCTCGCTCCAGCAGCGCGCGCACTGCGGCCGGGCCCCTGCCAGGCCCTCCTCTCGGGCAGTGAGCAGCTCTGAGCCGGGTGGAGGCCGCAGGGAGCGGCTCAGGGCCACGAGTCCCTCGTCCAGCCTCCGCCAGCTTCCTCGGGGTCACCCCTCCACCTCGTTGAGAGGCATGGGGTAACCGGTCAGCTTGAGGGACAGCACAGTGTGGGCGTGAGGAACTCCGGCACGGCCAGTGCCTCCCTTGGTTAATAAAGGGGTCAGAAACGAAGACCTTGGTCTTCATGAACAGTCCAGTGCCCAGGTGAGAAGGAAAAAGATGGGCCTCAGCCGTAGACGGCTTTGTTTCCACCACTGGCTTAGACCTGGCGACGTGTCGAGCGAATCGGGTCCCAATGAAGTTGTCTCTCGTTGCCAGGCGCAGCCTTGGACGGGACAGTCGCAGATGCCGTGGGTAAGGCGGGCGCAGCGCCTCGGCTGACGTGACTGAGAGAGTGTCACGGGAGCGGGAGGGTCGTAGTGACATCGTGGAAATGTTAGAGCGCAGTTAAAGTAAAAAATAACAAAGTCACACTCATGGCAGGTGTTCGTTACTTCTGTGTTTTAAAACATTGTCCTTAAGATGCGGTGCTGAGCCGTCTGTCGCTTTGACCTAATTATTGTTTCTCACTGAGCGAGAGGAAGTGACATTTTCCAGCCAGGGGAGCTAACAATAGCTTTCTTCGGTTTGGGCCTCTGTGGTGAACGTACTCCCTCAGCACCGCTCTGATAGTTTTTCTAGTCTCCGCAGACACACGTAGTCACTTTGTAAAGAGCCTCCTTGTCGTAAGGTCGATGCTCAGCTAAAAACAAGATGTGAGAGGGAGACTTCGCTGCGCCTGCTGCCATCGCCCGGGAGCCGGGGCTGTCAGCTCTGGATTATTGTGGCCATTTAAGAACCTTGACCATCACCCTCATCGGTACAGAAAAATAGCTCATGGCAGTGTGTCTGATTTGAATGAGAGTTTTCAAACCTCCATCATTGCCATGGCCAGTGTTGCTCAGTGAGTTGAGCATTGTCCAGTGCACCAGAGGCCACAGGTTCGTTTCCTGGTCAGGGCACATGCCCAGGCTGTGGGCTCGATCCCCAGTAGGGGATGTGCAGGAGGCAGCCAGCTGATGTTTCTCTCTCAAATCAATAAAAACATTTTAAGAAAACAACAACATAGCAACAACCTCTCCATCACCAGAATAGTTATGCTAATCATAGTTGGCAGGGTTTTCACCCTCCGATGGTGAGTGCCTGAGCTGCGAGGCTGTTAAGGCCTTTCTTTTTAAATGGTATTTTTTGTGCATATATGTGCTTCATGCCTAACGAGACAAAACACAAATTTGAAAAGTATGGTTTTGAACATTAACTATAGTGTAGCTAGAGAATATTTCATTGTATGACGTGATCATGTGAATTCCAAGTATTTAGATCTTGTTAAATTGGTCTGCAATAAATCATTGCATTTTTTAATCAGAATAGTTAACAATTAACTTTAAACTTGGAGGTAGTAGGATTATTGACTTTTCATAACAAATTTGATTTACCTGGTTTTTTTGTTGAATGTATGGCCAATGATTTCTTCTTTTCATAGAATATAAATTCTAATAAGAGTGCAATTTAAAAGCTGCCAAGCCGTGTTAATGAAACAGAACTGCGGGGGTTGGTGTGGGTGGGTGCTCCTCGCTGGTGCTGCGTGGAGGAGGGTTGTGAGGGGGACGGGGGGAGAGGACAGGGTGCGGCCTGTGTTTGTTATATTATATATACTTGTATCCGATGTTTTGCTTTACACTCGTGTCCTTCATTCTGTTTTATTCCCTCCCTGAAGCCGTGTGACTGTGGGTTTAACACGCAGAGACAGGTACCGACACTTTCAGTGAGATCTTCCTTCTTAGCCCGCTAGACGCAGCCTGGCGCCTCCCTGCTGGGCTGTGCGCTCGCCCGGCTGCTCCGCCTCCGCCCGGCCTCTTACTAACCAGCTGCTCGCAGCCTCTGCACGCACCGCCCTGGCCAAGCCTCTCCGCCGCCTCCCCCTTCACCAGCCTGTGTCAGTGTAGCCCTGACGGACACGCTGACGCTCTAGTGCTCACCAAGGTGATTCAGTCTGTTCTGTTAACATTACTTTGGCCTGGAGACACCTCAGTTTGTGTGCACTTTGACATTTACACTTAACAGTTTAAACAAACTAACATCCTTTGCATTCAATTTTTCGTGTTAGAAAATTTTTAAAAAAGAAATTGTGATGTGCGCTGAAAGGATCTGTTCTTGACTTACAACAGGCGATTTTCAAGTAAGACGCACGATAAACTCTGAGTGTTGCCGTTCTGTGTCCCAGTAACCGACCAGCTTCTTACTGAGTGTTTCCCTGATAAGTCGTTGCGTTTGCTTTTTCCATTGTTCTCTTCCTCCCTCCTCTATGAGATTCACTGGGCACCAAACTCGTTTCATTACCCGTGAGCCTGATAGGAAAGACCTGCAGGGATGCCTCCTCCTCCTCGATTCTCGAAGCGCGCTGTACCGCTTCACTCACTGACAGCTTGCCTCGCTCCCGATCACGCGGCTGACAGATAACTGCGTCGGACTGAGCTTTGAGGGAGCTACAGGGCAACTAATTTTCACCAAAGAAGCAAAAAACATACACCAGAGAAAGGAAAGTCTCTTCAACAAATGGTGTCTTGGCTGCTGTCCGTAATGCTGCAGGGAACGGAGGGCACATAGAACTTTAACAATCAGTGCATTAGCTGTTTCAGGTAGATGCCCCGAGGGGGTGTGGGTCACAGGTAGATGCCCAGGGGGTGTGGGTCACAGGTAGAGGCCCGAGGGGGTGTGGGTCACAGGTAGATGCCCAGGGGGTATGGGTCCCAGGTAGATGCCCAGGGGGTGTGGGTCACAGGTAGAGGCCCGAGGGGGTGTGGGTCACAGGTAGATGCCCAGGGGGTATGGGTCCCAGGTAGATGCCCAGGGGGTGTGGGTCACAGGTAGAGGCCCGAGGGGGTGTGGGTCACAGGTAGATGCCCAGGGGGTATGGGTCCCAGGTAGATGCCCAGGGGGTGTGGGTCACAGGTAGAGGCCCGAGGGGGTGTGGGTCACAGGTAGATGCCCAGGGGGTATGGGTCCCAGGTAGATGCCCAGGGGGTGTGGGTCACAGGTAGAGGCCCGAGGGGGTGTGGGTCACAGGTAGATGCCCAGGGGGTATGGGTCCCAGGTAGATGCCCAGGGGGTGTGGGTCACAGGTAGAGGCCCGAGGGGGTGTGGGTCACAGGTAGATGCCCAGGGGGTATGGGTCCCAGGTAGATGCCCAGGGGGTGTGGGTCACAGGTAGAGGCCCGAGGGGGTGTGGGTCACAGGTAGATGCCCAGGGGGTATGGGTCCCAGGTAGATGCCCAGGGGGTGTGGGTCACAGGTAGAGGCCCGAGGGGGTGTGGGTCACAGGTAGATGCCCAGGGGGTATGGGTCCCAGGTAGATGCCCAGGGGGTGTGGGTCACAGGTAGAGGCCCGAGGGGGTGTGGGTCACAGGTAGATGCCCAGGGGGTATGGGTCCCAGGTAGATGCCCAGGGGGTGTGGGTCACAGGTAGAGGCCCGAGGGGGTGTGGGTCACAGGTAGATGCCCAGGGGGTATGGGTCCCAGGTAGATGCCCAGGGGGTGTGGGTCACAGGTAGAGGCCCGAGGGGGTGTGGGTCACAGGTAGATGCCCAGGGGGTATGGGTCCCAGGTAGATGCCCAGGGGGTGTGGGTCACAGGTAGAGGCCCGAGGGGGTGTGGGTCACAGGTAGATGCCCAGGGGGTATGGGTCCCAGGTAGATGCCCAGGGGGTGTGGGTCACAGGTAGAGGCCCGAGGGGGTGTGGGTCACAGGTAGATGCCCAGGGGGTATGGGTCCCAGGTAGATGCCCAGGGGGTGTGGGTCACAGGTAGAGGCCCGAGGGGGTGTGGGTCACAGGTAGATGCCCAGGGGGGGTGGGTCACAGGTAGATGCCCCGAGGGGGTGTGGGTCAGGCGGCAGCTCTGCTCTTACTTCTTGGAGGAGCCCCTGTGCTGGGTCCCCTCCCGCCCCCGCAGTGGGAGGATCCTTTGCTCCTCATCCTCCCAGCACCTTCCTCTTCTCCCTGGTTGCCAACAGCGTTGTAACACGTGGCGGGGTCTCTGTGCTTTCCTGTGTGTTTCCCTCATGACTAGTGTCGGGGTGCTTTCATATGTCCATTGGCCATCTGTGTGTCTTCCTTGGAGAAGTATCTACGTAGTCCTCTGCCAGTGACCGGGTTTCACGGCTGTCACTGAGTTGTCTGAGCTCTTGATATAGTTTGGGCATCGCCCTTATTGGACTTGTTGTTTGTTAATATCTCCTACCCTTGGTGGTTGGCTTTTTGTTTTGTTGATGTTTTCTGTGTTTTGCTGTGTGGATGCTTTTTAGTTTGAACTAGTCCCATTCATTTATTTCCTTTTACTTCTCTCGCCTCTGGGGTCAAGTTCACAAAAGCCTCTCTCAGACCAAGGTCCATAAGTTTAGTGCCTGTGTTTTTTCTATGTGTTTTATTGTTTCAGGTCTTACCGTTAAGTCTTTGATCCATTTTGTGGATCTTGAGAGTATCATGCGAAGTGAAATGTGTCCGATGGAAAAAGACAAGAACCTATGGTTTTACTCACGCGGATGTCAGACAACACAAGCCAGTGAACAGGCACAGGGAGAAGGGTGGTCACCTGAGGGGAGGGGCTGGGAGGACAGAGAGGCAGGGGTCCAGGCCTGTGGCGAGGGGCCCAGGCTGCGGGCCGAGCACGCAGGAGAGAAGACGATGTCTTACTATCCAGTCACGTGTCTGGGATTCTATGATGCTGCTGACCAATGGACCGCAGCGAGTGATAAACTTACAGAAGGCACTTCAGTCCCCACGGAGGTGGGCTACCACTGAGCGCGGGCGTGTGCCTCCAGGCTGAGGGGCTGTCTAGAGAGCTGAAGACGAAATGACCGAAACAGTAGTGTTTTGCTGGTAGTATTTTTGAAGCAGTTGAACCTCAGGCTGCATACTGTGTGGCATGTTTTCAATGTAAACTTAATAAACTCTGAATAGATGTGCTTGGTGCAGTGTATTCCCAGTCATCAGTATCCAGATGTTTATGGGCCTGCCTCCTGCCTGTCGCCTCGCGGAGACGTCCTGGCTCTGCGCCACGTGGCCTCGTCCCCTGGCTGCACAGGGAGTAGCGAGGTGCTGTGTGTGCTGTGTGTGCAGCTTTATTCGTCGGTTCATAACAGAATGAGGTTGTGCTCTGAGGTTACAGATAGTGCCTCACACTGGCTGGGCGCTGATGCAGGGTGTGGGCTGTGTCACACCTGCCGTTGTCCTGGTGGTGCTGCAGGAGGCAGGGGAAGTGGCGGCTTCCCTCTCCTGAGGGGCGGGCGTGTCGTCATTGTCCGAGGAGGCCCAAGGCTAAGCAGGACAGGTAGTTCGGAACGTTAACCTCCATGCTGGTGGGTTTGTCTCTCTCTGTGGTGCTTATGGTTTCTTTAAATGCTTCAGAATGAGAGCAGGGAAGGTCGAAGTTGTAAGACCCAAAAGCTGGGGTTCTGGTCCAATCTACCACGAGCCAGCTGTTCATCCCGCGACTCCGGGTCTCAGTGCCCACGCCTGTGACACGGAGGCTCCTGTGTAGTCGACCCCAGGTAGATCCTCTGTAGTCTGTTGCACATTCAGAAAATGTTCTAAGTAAATTGCAGAATGACTGTTATTTTGACTTTTCTTTGAAAGGAGACCGCGTTTTAATGGGTTGTGTCTACTTTCACGTGTGTAAAGAGGAACCTGCCTTATAGCTACCTGGTATCGAACAGCTTCTTGGGGGAAGTCTAGTCCCCGGGGACGGCCAGGATCTGAAACTACTGAGCTCGTCTGAGAGACAGGGAGGCCCTGGCTACCTCTGAAACCACCCCGGGCTTCCCTGGGTTGTATCTGGGCTCAGTCACCGCCCCCGAGTTCCCTTAGCGCCCGCCTGCTGCAGGGTGGCCTGGGCTGGTTTGCAGGACGCTCCCCTAGGGCGTGAGCAGGCGTCTGCGCTGTAAACTGTAAAGGCTGCTCTGAGGAAGGGCGGCCACGGGTCCTGCCCCAGCCACACGCCCCCCAGCTCGTCCTGCATTGAAAACACTCGACTTCATCGGGTGCTTCAGTGTAGCCTCCTAAGCCTTCCGTTCACACATGTTCTCCGCGTGTTCCAGGGGCCGGGCCCCGCACCCGGCGCAGGGTCGCTGAGCGCCATGACCGTGGACGCCGTGTGCGAGCGGCTGAAGCAGATCGAGGGGCTGGAGCCGAGCATGCTGCCCCAGTACTGGG